ACATATCTCGTCACGGTCCACTAAAGAAGCTGTTCTGCACTGACGATCAGCTGACAACCCAGAAAAAGTGGGAAGCACACTTAAACCGGAGCATTTTGGTCCACGTCGTGTTTCTACACCTTGAAAAGACCTCTGATTTGTTTTCCCACAAAGGCACGCTCCTGAAATTCGACAAAATGGAAACTGACAGCTCATCACTATTTGGGATCGGAGATAGTTGAAGGGGATGGAGAATTTTGCAAGATGACTGGCAGAGTAGCTTTTATATGGACAGGTGAGTTATGTATGCCCAAAGATTTAGTTTCAGGCCCCCGTCTGTGGGTGAGGTGCGATTATGCACAGCCACCCTCGGTCCACCGTTTGAAAGGCCTCTCAAAGTCACAATGAGACACTAGAAACACTTCGTGGTTCAACGGGATAATATCGCACAGTGTCAGTAGTGACAGATTAAAAACGGCCTATCTTCTCGATGTGGTGATAGAAAGGATCCTAAAAATGGTGGTCTGCAGTGAGGACACTGACGAGATAACTACTAATCCCAGTTAACAAGCTAATCGGGATAAACCCTTAACTCTCGAAATATTTTCTTGAAAAACTACGGAGTGAACAATCACAGAACTAAACCAAATATATAGATTTACTCAATGCCACACCCAGAAACCCTCATTTTTTCAAAAAATAGTGAATATGAAAAAATACATGTGAAGTAACTGTTTCAGGAAAGGAGACACGCCAAGAGAAGATATCGTAATGCAGTAGATAATATGAATGAAACCGGGTCCATAGATATAAAACATATTCCTGTCTATGTCAGGACGAGTTCTACTCATACCATAGAGTTCCACTGCGAGTCCAAATTCGTGAGAATACTAACTTCAGACATACACCAACATTTTACTTTCAAATGTTTATTCTTCTTCTAAGAGCAGCGAAGCACTTTTGAGGCGTGGTGAAATTCTTTGTCGTTTTGATTAGTATCTCCCTTCCTTCTCCATATTTTAAGGGTCTTCATTGGCAGATGAGTGAGCATGTATTACCTGGTCAGAGGCTTCCAAAATCTCGTCCCACTGTTGTGGTGTTGGGTAGGCCCATTCGTGGAAGTTCCTCTAGAAGTTTCCTTCTCAAAATGGCCAAGTTTCCTGGCTGTCTTGGCACCTGGTTCTCGTTGACGTGTGACAAGTTGAAACCTTAAGCCCAGAATGAGTGCACTGGACACTATCCTGGCATAAAGCCACAGGTAGTTAAATGGAGTATGGCAGGTGGCTGTAGCACTTATAAAACACTAGTATCACCTAGATGCGGTCGATGATTAAGGAAGACCCAATAAAATACAGTAGTGTATAATTAATTCTACCTATGTAGGACACACCAGCTTTACAGGCATGGATATGTATTATTTAAATTGCATGAATTTGGTTTATGGTGAAATAACATGATTGCTGTCTTTAGTTTGTGGGAACGATATGCTAACTGGTTATTCAATGGAGCACATTGAGAAATATAGAAATACTGTCTTCGCATTAACAAAAGTACCCAAGTATGTGTTGGATGTATTACAAATACTTGGGAAAAAATTAAGCTTGAAGTCAATCCCCCCATAGAACTTTGGTGTGTATGCATCGAATCTTATTCTTGATTTATAACCAAATTGAGTATTAATTTCAAATAAGTGATGCATTTGTATAACTCTGTCAGCATTTCCATCGCAAGTAACACCAGAAGTGAAATGTACTCAATGCAGACTAATATTGGTTATTGTCCCATTGTCACCCACTGGAATACACCGAATCCTCAATCACACTGCTACAATCATCATCACCAACACAGCGAATACCACCACGGAGTTAACACGGGCATGCAGGCAAGCTGACAGTCACACAGACATGGAGAGTCGATCAGTCAGTGACAATATAGGTTTTGTTTTCATTACACTGCCCCCTTCCTCTAGAGGCACTGCCCTCAGTGCAGAAAGGTGGAAGTGGGTAGCCTTCACTCCCAGAGGCTGGAACTTCATAATGACAGGTGTAGGGTGGTGGTTCGTCTGGGAGAGGAAGGTGGAATGTTTTTCAGGAAGTAAGTTGTAGGGCAGCATGTCCACACAATCTCAAATGGTCCTTGCCATGTCGAGTGGTATTTTGAGCTCGGTCCAGGGGGGCGGTGAAGCCAAATATGATCGCCAACATAGTAAGTTAGGCTACGAACGAGACAATCGTACATATTTTTCTGATGGTAACTTGACGACTTTTGTTGAGTGCCCGCCACATCACAAGCGACTGCCAAATTGTTGAGTTATTGCAGGACATAAGCAACATGGTCACTTTGTCCAAAGGTGAAGGGAAGGACTTGTACTTCAACAGGGAGACGTAATTCTTGACCGCACAAAAGTATTGCAGGAGAGAAACCCTTGGGGGGATGTACGGAAGAGCGATAGGCCAGGGGCATTTAGGTAGTGTATCGTCCCAAGCATCAGTTGACAAGCTGTCAAAGTAGTTGAAGAATGAACTATCAATTCATGGTTGTTTACTCAAAACCAACTCCATATTTTGGCGAGAGTCACCGATACTGCAGTCATCGTTCCATAGTACGCTGTTCGTTAGAAGACGGAGAAATACTATCAGAAGTAATATTGTGATTAATTGTTATGACATTTATTTTTAGACTTTGTGTATAAGATCCTTATTGTTGGTTCCACATTGGTGCAAGAATGAAGGACTCTCGAGTCGCCAATCTGTGTTCTGTTTTTTCGCGTTGGTTATTGCACATTGGTGTTGAAGGTCTTCTAAAGACAGCGTTAAATCCAGTGTAGTTAGACCTGGACATTAACAAAAGCGGCTGGGGAGAGCGAGTAGTATATTATTGATCGTCTGATTAGTACGTTCCACCAAACCGTTTCTTTCTGGGTGATAGGAACTCTTGCTTGTCTTCCGTATACCAAATACGTCGCAGATGTGATGAAAGAGTTGGCTCTCAAAAGCAGCACCTTGATCCGAATGCAATGAGTGTGAGGTACCGAAACGGGCAATCCAGTTGTCAGTGAATGCCTTGGCCACGCTGTTTGCATCTTGTTGTTACAGTGGCACCACCTCACACTATTTTGTAAAACAACCAATCATCACTAAGATATATCGATTATTTCTTTTTGAGGTTGGAAGTGGCCCCATTATATCAGTGCCGACGCGCCGATCCGGTGCTTGGGCAAGCATAGGTACAAGGGGTGCTGTAGGCGTTTGTGTTGGCTGCTTGTTGCGGCTACAGAAGTCACAGTTTTACAGAACTTGGCCACATCTCGATGAAGCAACGGCCACCAAAACGCTGACGGATGGCATGTTCAGTTTTGTGTCGACCAGCATGCCTTAGTTTTTGGTATACCTGAGTGATGGGTTCCTGTACTTTGACGTCCGGAACTAAAAGTCGGGGTTTGGAATTCGGTTCCACTACTAAGAGGAAATCATCTATTAGTCGAAGTAGGCCTCGTTTACAGCAGCTACACCTCGTAGCTGCTGGCAGATCTCGTAATTCCTTCTGCGTTGGTTTATTGCTGTGCTGTTGTCGTAAATAGACAGGTTGTATATCTGCATCCGCCACTTGCAAGGAAGCCCAGTCAATATCAGCTGACATGCCAAAGTATTCGTTAACTATCGCACAAGAAACGTACTTATCGATTTCATCAGTGAAGTTATTCAAGGAATTTGGCGTGGAGGAACTGGTTTATGTGGGAATTCCAAAAGACAGCACACATGGATTGTGAGAACCCCTAGGGTTCTGGGGAAACCTGTTTCTAATCAGATCTGTACGAATGTGTGAATTTTTTGAGGTGAAGTAAAAATGGTCAGTGAAGTCATACCAAGGTGGCACTAAGCGACTGTCTAGTGAGATAAATCACCAGACAACCTATAGATATTAAGGAAGGCTGTGAATTAAAACGCTGAAGAACACGGGATTGATATAAAAACGAAAGCCTATTTATTTATTGGGATGAGATAAACCAGTTCATAAATGAGAGTTACGCTGGTGATACCATAATATTAAGTCAAACGCTTGCATATGTTTTCCGTGAGTTAGTTGGACTGGCTTTTTGAAGTACAGTGGAAATGGTGTCCTCACTAAATTGCCATTCGGAATTCCCACCACAACAGGTGGTTGTCACGAGGGACTGTTTTCATGCCTTTGAATCGAAACGTGATCCCTACAGTTAAATAGTGACATTAACAACTGTTTCCTTGTGGTATGGGTGACTAGAGTTGGTGCAATAAAATATTGCTTCCTTCTGAATACCAGAGAGGATGCACTTCGGATGCGGAATAACACCTCCTCAGTTCATGTGAACGAGTGGTTTGTGTTTAGACACTTGCCACAAAAAGTCTAACACTTGGATATCTCTGCTCACCTTCTGTAAGAACAGTCTGTGATATATTCGCGTATCTATAGGAAGTCTATGCATCTCTCCGTTATTGTTCAAACCAGGTAAGTGAAAGAGTATATTGATTTCTATGTCAGTTGATAGTGAATACAAGCATTTTGTGCAGAAATTTAGATATAAAATGAACTGTTTCATTCTGTTGTTTTGAAGACTTCTCTGTTAAGGCATTTAGCACCCATGTGTTTAAGCCTAGCTGCGCGCTTATAAACCTGTTTCGGTGACTTTAAACGAAAGCAGCCGAAAATGAAGTTATTTAGTGAACGGATTGACGACCTTGACGAATTTATGTGCAGAAACTGGTTTAATCTGACTATAAGGACTCATGTGAGAAGTAGGAAGGTTTTCTTGGAACATATACAAAAATATTTCCCTATGTAACCATTTTTTAACATTGCTTTACTTGCATGTAGACGTTTATTTCAAATTACATACTTCCACTTCTTAAGCATCTGATTGTTCGCTAGAGGGAGTTTCGTTTAAGGCTGCTATTGTTTAGGGTAACCACTCTTTCATCTACGCATGTTATGCACTTACAGAAACCAGTTTTACTTATGCCTGTGAAATATTTACCGTTGTGTTATTGAACATTGCTATCGTTTTATATTTATGTATTTTACGCGGTTACACTTCTTCGCGGTCACCCCGCGTTTTTTGAAATTTGTTACATCTTTCCAATTTTCACTTGTTCTTCTTAATACATTGTTGGTCTTTAACCGTGTACAACGTTAGCCACATAGTAGAACCTGGTGACGTTAATGTTCTATAGGTTCATAATCGGAATCATAATTAGTATACCATAGGCATACATTGAAAATAAATGATTAATCATCTTGTATCGTAAGTTAACTGTTAATAAAAAAGTTTGAATGTACTGGTTTATTATCAAAGTTGATTAGAATTTTCATTTTATCTAGTTTTCTTGATTACACTTGCGTTTTCAAAGCGTTGGTTAACCCTTGTACACTCATATGGTGTAGACAGATTTGATGACCTCATAGTTCTTAAAGTGTTGTGAAACACAGAACTACTCTTAAAAAGCTTTTTTAAAAGTCGAGAAATTAATCTAAGAACATTCGTAATTGTAAAAAACATACATGCCATAGGGGTGAGGAAAAATAAAGTCAAGATTTCCCTAAACATTTGTTTTAGTTCCATTCTTACCATTTATATGAATAGTTATTTATTGAAGGTATCATACAAAATTCTCTTTGTGATTGATTTTGTTGTACCAGGGTAATTCTGCTAATGCTACTAAAATCTAACACCACACCTAGTCGGTGATGACAAAGATTGTGGCAAACTTATCGTCATATTCTGTACTGATGTTTGAATCATGAACCATGAATAAATTAGATTATACTTCTACTAGGCACTAGTTATTAGTTAATGTCGTGAGTTTGGTCCTTTGTTTTGATGCAAACTGAATTCGATCGGTCAAGTTTAGGATGTGGTTACCATGCTATATGACTTGCCATCATGGTACATCATAAGTTGCTGATAAGTGCCAACACGCACGAAACGTAGGTTGCAGACTTCCTATCAATTGCTTCCAACCATCTAACAAATCAATTTATGTTGACTTCAGCTGAAATAAATCACTTTTGACTCCAAGTACTCGGAACATTTTGGATATTGTATGTTCTATATTACAGCTTGCAGCCAATATGGTCAGTCAGATACCCACTGAAACGATGTGTGTGTGTGGCTGGATTCAAGTCTCAACAGGGTAAACCATCATACTTTCACAGTCGGAATGAAGGTACTCCAACTGATGATAAGTGCCGAGTGCGATGGAGGACACTATCTGGATTCCACTGTTAACCACACAATCAATAACATCATATGAATTATCATCATATCATAAAAACTTATTATTTTTCTTTTTTTGTTTTAGAATACAAATACATGTCCACTAGCTATCAGTCTTTAACATTGAATTCGGATTCATCTATTTTGTAGAGTGATTATTAGAGATAATCACTGATAATAGAGGATGAAAGTGATTCTATGCATACATTCATGTTTATCTACTCTTGGTTCAATGCTATTCACCCTACAATCCACATAAGATGAAGACAATATCAAGCACTGGAGATATTGAATCATATGATGAAGTCATTAAGATTTTATCAGATAATGAACTACAAAGTAGTAGTTATCCAGAAAGGCTTATTACTAATGAAGAATTAAAATGTCTTAAAGAAGCGTATTGGAAAAGAAAGTATGGTAGAGTGAATAATTATAAAATCAGACTATTTTTATGCATTACTTTTATCCTTTTAATATTATGTGCAATAGCTATTATTGTGATAAGTATTCTCTTACTTTATTTTATTACAAAATCTTTAAAGTACTTGAATTAATATAAACTTATGAATTTGTTGTTTGCTTTAATGTGATAAAGGAAACTAGAACTTAACTGATTTTCCTTTTGAATTTTTAAGACATGGCCGCGGGAGAGGGTGGCAGTTTTATGAGGTGGTAAGTGATTTTGTACCCTCAAAGTATTACTACCACTCCCTTAGGTTCCGAGTGCAACACACCGCTTCAATGGCACATCTCCATTTTGTTCTGTTCTCTGCAGTCCACTTCAGCTGGCCCCACAATTGCCCATAAACTTTTTTCTCTTCCTCACACGATCTCCTCCATGTCATTCTCGGACCAATGCCCAACTCGTCGTTTCCCAATCGGGTTCCACTCAAGCAATGTCCTGTTGCTCGATGTCACTTGACGGCCTCCTCAACGTGTATCCGACTCATCTGCATTTCTTTCAGCATACTTCTTGAGCTGTCGGTTCTTGATTGGTTTGTTCCCAGAGTGTCTTGCTGCTAATACTTTCTGGCCGAACATTTGATTTTCAGTATGTAGCCGGGAGAGAGGGCAACTGTTGATAAAAGTTTGTGACAGGCTGTTGGAAATGCTTTTTGTGACTCACTGGGCAAGTTTTTCGCCCATGTGATTGACTTCAGATTGGTGTTGAAGATCCGAATTCTGTTGTTTGTGAATAGTGCAGCTGATTTTGAAATTGATTTCAGACTGATGAATGATCTGCCTTTCCTTTCTTTTACGATTCTGGTTTTGATTTCCTCATCCGTTCAGCATGTAGCTGAAAAGACGCTTCGTGGATAAGTGAAGGAAGTAACTTCTTTCAAGTTTCTTCCTTTGATAGTTGTTGGTACTGGTTGTTGGTTGGTTATTTTCACCACCTCAACCTTTTGTATGTTTTAATTGAAGTCCTGTCTTTGCTTCCTTCCTCTTCTGTCGACTTGTTTTGACTATTTTGTAAACTTCTTAACTTATAACCCATACGATATAAAATTTTGACAGTTCCATTCTTATTATTCCATGTTGCCTTAAATTATTACAATTGTTGTTACTCATTCCTCGTCTTCCGAATGGAATATGGGGTTGAGCATTTGGTTGTCTCTGTCTTCACTTTCAGCTGGATCCATAGCTGTTTATATGTTTTCATTTCCACCTCTTATGATCTCAATGTCACCATAAGACGCCTAACTTGTCGCTTCATATTTTTTGGAACTTAATTCTAGGGTCCGTCTAGCGCGTAATGTCATTTGAAGGCCTTCTGAGCATATTTCCCCAATACGTCTCGATTTCCGCCTGCATATTTATTGGAAAATAGGTTTTCGGTTGATTATTTCACTAGAATTATTTGTTAATTATCGTTTCTGACTGTCTGATCTTCAGTAACGAGTGAAGAAACTTACTCATTGCTAAAAGTTTGCGGCTTGTTTGAATCAATTTTTGTGACGCGTGCGCCGTTTTTGGACCACATAAAAGTACTGATCTGGTACCATCGATACTGAGACTTTAAATCCTCAGATTACTGCAAAGAGAAATAGGAATTATGAAAGTGTGGAATCACTACTGGTGTTAGACAGCTAGTTAGGGAATTTGGGTTGTGAAACTTGCATATAGTGAAAACTGTATGGTAAACCTAATCATCGTAGAAAGGTCTACCAGTCCACGTAACTACGCGTTGAAGTTATGCACACAGAACTGACTTAGAGGAGGAGGTTATCTGCATCATTGATAGTACTTGACTAATCTACCTTCAGGACCAATAATTCTTGTCATCTGCAAGGTAAAATGACCATTGTAGGCCTAATAAGTTGGGTGACCTGTTTTACTTAAGTATGAATTCTTTAGAAATTGCATATATATATAAATCATTCTTTGTGTCCCGAGTGGAACATAGGGCTTCAGACGTAAACGTTTCATTAGCGGTGGGTTTTGTTCACGGAATGGCGGTTACTAGCCTCATTCGCGACCTTCATCTTTTCCCCCGCTTTCTACCGGCTAGTAAACTAGGCGAAGTTCAGAAGTGCGTCTTCCGGGAATCGAACCTGGACCTCCTGTGAGACTAGTGAGCACTTTAACTACTAAATTTACTAAACATTGATAGTGTCACATACTAGTTTTCCTCCTTGCACCAAACATTCCAAGCAGAATCACATTGTAATTCAATTACTTGCTTTGTCAAACAACCAACAGTCAGTGTTGATCAGTCTCTCATCTTGGATGACTATACAGTAAGTTAGGGTACATTAGAGTGGAACTAACATGCTTCTCGATAGCTGTCTGAATATCATCCTACCATTTGGAAGTGATGGAATAAGTTGTAGTTTGTAATTATTATGAGTACTGTCCTCTCGGTTTCCGAGTGGAACATAGAGCTTCAGCAGGACATCTCCATCTCACTCTATTCTCTGCAATCCTTTTTAGTTGGCTTCATTGTTTTACACAAGCCTTCATTTCCTCTTCAAATGATCTTCTCCAGGTCACCTTCGAGCTGATGCCCAACTCATCGTTTCTTATCTGAATCCCACTAGACGGCCTGACGCGTGATATCAGTCAACGATTTCCTCAGCCCTTGTCTAATCCATTTCCTTTTAAATATTTGTTGGGCAATAGGTTGTCGATTTTAGATTATGTTTCTTTATCAAAGTGAAGTAGTCAAATGATACTTGGCTTGCGATTTTGTGTAACTGATCAGTTATAAACCTTAGAGAGGGACTTAATAATGACAAACTGACCGTTAGTATACCGCTCCCATCGGGCTGATAAGACACAAAAGGTTAGATATATTTCACATAACAATTTGTTTGTGACTGTAATTTTATAGGGTTTTAAACCATTATTACTGACTTCTTGTCATTAGAGGCTAGAAGGATTGAGTGGAGAAATATTTACTTCTCAATGAGATCCTCATCTATGGTTCACCTGTAATATGCATAAATATAATTGGAGTGGCTCTGGTTAGGACTCTCGCCGACCATGCACATGGTCCGGGGTTCGATCCCCTGCCGGCGCACACCCGATATCTATGGTAGGCCTGAATTTGGGCTAACCGATATCCATGTGAAATTACATTTAACACAGTGCCTGAAGAATGCAGTTAAAAGATCATTCAGTGTAGCAGAGGTACGCTATCTTTTCACAGCATCTCCAATTTTACATTCGGCCAATGAGGATAAACTACCTAATTGCGCCTTCTTTAATGTGTCACTAGCAGTTTCACTGCTTCTTCGGAGCTAGCTACATTGGCTGTACAATTAGGCACGTTTATTATCATATTTCCGAACGTCATCGTGCATGGTTTAGTAAGGGACAAACAAGATCTATTCGTAGCTCTGTTTTAGCACACCTTTTAGATAGCGGCCATAAAGTTGGTATTCATAAACCATTTGAAGCTGCTTATGACATTCCGAACAATATTAACTTCGCGAGTTTATCTTCAACTTACGGCTGAAGCCGTTGGAATGCAGCTGAAGAAACCAAGCCTGTGTGTCCAGAAGAAATTTGTACAGCCACTTTCCTAACCTCAGCTATCATTACATGCATGTAAAAAACTTACAGTCCCCTCCTCCCCCTAAGCCTTTTACAGGTAATCCATGTCTTAATCACTTCATTATTCCGACTACCTCATCTTTATTTGCCTATTACGCTGTCAGCTGCGTATAACCTAAAGAAATTATTAAGTTTGTGTATAGAACAACTTTAACACACTTGCAGTTGTTACATGATGTCAGTTGACAGGAGGTTCTGGACTTAGCGAACAGTGCTCAAAAGATTACACTTATATAGTTTTTACTCAGAGTTCAAGTTTTGAAGAAAAATAAACGCTTGAATACAATGGCAAGAGAATTGCCTAATAAAGACAAGAGGTAAGATGATGAGTAACTAATACATTGAGTAACAATGGAGTGAGTTCTACTCAAACCATAGGAATAAGAGACTAGCAAAGTTACACTATGTCAAAGTAGGGAGGAGAGATTAAGGCCAAACATCACATAAAAATATCCAGTTACCGGGAAAGGAAAGACTGACCACTGCTTCTTTGTGAACACATAAATCGGGTTGCAGTCGTTTGATAACGATTGCTTCGGCAAAGCTGAAGAGAACTGAACTATTTTTTTTCTATTGACAATTTTAAAGAATTTCGCAATGTCCACCTCATGACCCATATGGATGAGATGTCTGGCAACGGCACTATTGTAAGCACTTATTCCCTTGAGACTTACGCTTCTTGGTACATGTTTAGAAAATTGAAGCTGTGGCCTTCTTTCTATTCTCCAAATATAACTGCTGCTGCAGACACGTACATTTCGTGGTTGTTTGGTCGTATTTACGTTCTTTTATCAAGTGACCGAACTTTAAATGTTGCGCTTTTGAGCAAAGCTATCGAAATTTCAGTTGATTTCTTACCGTCTGAAAAAAACCCACATTATATATTGGTGTAATTCCACTTTTTACATTAAACATTTAGGTATACTGATTCATTTCATTTACTTTTATAAAACTAGACATTCGTACAGATTGACTGTCAATCAGAATTTCGCCCTTAGATTCTAAGAAGCATATCTTAAAGATTCTATTACTTTTGATTTTCAGAAAAAATCACCATCAAATAAAAATCAATAAATGCTTGGTTTATTCTCCACCACCATGACACTCCAATACAACCAAGTGTTCTTGTGGTGTACACTCGAGTGAAATATTGTCTTTTTTTTGGGAGCGAAGTCAAATGTGTACCTGATGAAATGTTTATTTCCAGTCTCACTAGATGCCGGTTACTCTCTACTACTTTGCTCTTAGACAGACTGTTTTTATATCGGAAACATGTGTGTATTCAGTTGATGATTTTTCAGTGTTACTCAAACATTTCATGAAATTCCATGTAAAGTAGACGGTGAGCCATATCTATTGTCTGAGGAATAATGATACTTGCTACCTTACTGCTCAAATTGCAGTAGATGGAGTTGGATTCAAGCTATTGACCCAGTGTAGTTTGGTAGTTGAGTACTCAGACAAATGAGTCACAGCTTTACATTCAAAGCAAGTCATCGATGTTAATAGGTGCAAATTAAGCCTCACTTAACATATTCATTCAATTTTCTCTCCACTGGTGGGTTTCAATTTCGAAATCTACTTGCTATACTCATTGGTATTAGACTGATATGAATTGATAAAGATACTGCTGTTCGGGTTCGATAACGTTTCCAAAACTTTGACATACTGGAAAGAAACAGGGTTCGATAAGGCGAGGCAATAAATAATTCATCTGAAGACCGAATAGCAATTACTGATTTCCTTTCATTCCTGAGCGTCAGAACCCATGCAAATAAAGACAAACTGGTTCTAGCCGGTGGGAAGAAGAATGAATCTTTTTTTTATATACAAGAATACATTATAAATAAAAGTATTACCTGCCTCAGAAAG